TTTATATATCATATACCCTGTATATTGTGTGCGTTTGTGTTTGTATATGTATTATAGTTAAAGGCATGTATATTTTAAGTAGCATATGTCTGTATAGACACATTCCTCAATGTGTCTACAGTACAGGTATATCTGTAAAATTATCCCGCACACGAGAATTGATATCGAGGTGGAATTTTGAAATCATAGGCACAGGCTCCATTGTCAATCACCGATCCCACTGACTCGCTTGTGTTATTTATTTTTCTCTTTATGTGATCCAGGGTTGTCAACGGGGTGGTCGTGGATGTGCCCCTGCGTATCGTAACCCAAGAATTCTACCCAGAATTAATACGATTGTACAAACACCTGGGCATCGAGTTGTACGTAGCCGATAGCTCTAGCTCGCTATCTTGGATGCGTAATGCGAGTGACAGTACACAGAAGCGTGATGGAATCACGCCCCCTTATTTCCGGTATTCCAATGTATTGAAGCAAGAGGATAGTAGCTCAATGCTGGATTCTTCATCGTTTACCCGACCAGAGTTCTACTATGTCTTGCGGGATTTATTATGGCTCTGGTAAGTTCGCGTATATCTCGATATACTCGAGTAGAGCACGACAGTTATTCATATTGCATATACCTTGTGGTCGTATGGCTTATATATAGCACGCGAGTACGAACGTCTACATGTAAACGAATTTACTATCTCAGCCGAGTACTAGTGTGTTGAATTTTTCTGACTGTAATTTGACTGAGGTTCGATATACTTCAGACTCTATCGTTGTACGAAACAGACCTCTGGCGTGATACTTTCCACCACCGTCTATCGCACACGCATGCACTTGTAGGGATCGAAGGCACCTATATCCGCCCACACTCTATTCCATGCTAACCCGCTGGGATGTTTTCCACACCACGCTCCTCTAACCAGCCTCTTCGGAACCATAGACTACTACCGCGGAAAGCTCAGCGGATTAACAATCGGTGCCTACCTGACCCAAAAGAGGTACTCAGACGCCTTCACTATCGGCTTCTTGGCAGCCTATCTGGCAGGTAGTTGTGTATACCACTCTCGCTTGCGTACAAGCCTCTCACGCTATATGACAGTTGCAACGTCGATCCAGTTGGCACTTGGGTCTTTGAGTGCTACTTACTATCTTTGACTTGGTATACTATGTGTTTGTATCCGAGGTTAGCTTAAATTGCGCAACTACAAACCTCTATCACCCCCTTCCAAGTCAAGCCCGTCTATTCGTATACTGCAATATTACAAATATCAAGGTTTCTATGAGCACATACGCCTCTTTAAACACCCGCTCCCAAAGTCTGCCCTTTTGTTTTCTGTACCGGTTTCTTTATCGTTTGCACGCGTGCAATACAGTAATCTGCTCGTGCGGCCATGATTCTGCGTTGAACTATCCGGCAAATGTGGTGTTTGAGTACTTCCTTCCCGTGACACTAGGCTCGCAGGGTGTATACAGAGTGTCCGAGGGTGTTCGGATAGCCATCAGCGCCTTGACAGAAAAGGTATTTTGCACAGCTCAAATGCACATATGTATAGTTTAGATTGCACGTCGATGTATGTTATAAAGTTTGTCTGGGTTTTTCTATGAATCACAGTAGCCTCGTGAACGCGAGGGAATGTACTAGAACGCTATCAACGCTCCCACTGCCAGAACGACGCTTCGTTGTATACAGTATTGTGTGTGTCTATGTATGTATATATATATATATGTATGTATATATGTATGTATGTATATATATATATATATATATATATATATATATATATATATTATTATTATTATATATATATAGTATATATATATGTATAGTATATATATATA